CAATTTCGTCATTTCGAGATTCGCGTTTTCTTTCGAGTTCGCGCCAGTGCAAGTTCAAATTGAAAATTCCACGGTTTTGTTTACATCGAAATCAAACTGCCGACAATAACGTCGAAGCGAAATTAATAACACGTAAAGTTATGCCAATTCGAATCGCGGCCGACCTTTTCCAACTTCGCTCACCAGCTCGTTTCTGAACATTTCGATCATAGTTTCATGAGGTTCTACACAATATTCTACGATTTGCCGATGCGTAACTGTTGCGTATAACCCAACATATTCCAGTGGTATTTCAACTTCATTTCTGCCATGGAGTTTCGGAGAGCCGAGTATTAATATTACGGTAATAGCATTGCACTGCTAAATCATGAAACAAGTTATTTACACGCCGAATATACTCCGATGGCCTACGATAGTCGGTACTATAATGCTACCACGTGTTATTTTGAGTTACGGTACAAAATATATAATTAACTGTATCCAACCAATTAGACATAGACGGCCAGTAGAGAACCAATGAAACGAGGTAAAAGACGAAGAGAATATCATATAGTTCTTTTTCATATAAATTCTTTCGCCAAGTTTCTGCTAATATAGGAATAGAAACCGTCAGTAAAATCTTGCTAAGAAACAGAAAATTTCGCAAATTTTTTTAATAACACATTTCAATGTTCTTAAAAAATAAACAGTGCGTATGAAAAAAGGAAAGGATAATCAAGTACTGCAAAATGTTGATCTGTTCCTCGGTTACAAAATTCTATAATAATTTTTACTATAATATATGCATACTCCGTATGCATGTGTTACGAATTTTATTTCTCTTCGCCGTATCTTCAATAATTTGATCATCAGTTAAGCTTTTTCGTATCATTAATTAGCGCGGCAATCAACATTCACAAACGAACAGGTGAACAAAGTTGGAAGAGGCAATGCTATCAGTATTATTACTGTTGCATTAAACATGTAAGCGGACCTATTTGGTTTTTTCCTTAACACGATTAAAATTAATCGCTTTGACACACAAAGAGCGTCCCAAAGCTAGATATCCATTTGTTAGGTTCTCCACTAACTTCTCTTCTCTGTAGCGAACATTCGATGCTTCCGGGACACTTTGGGTGCGTATATGTGTGTGTATCCAAGCCATTAATCTCCATCGTGTTAAATAAAAATTCAAGGCGACTTGGAACGGTGCAGGGTCATTTAACGATTCACCGATATCGTTGCTGTTGTTTTAATTATTACTACTGTATACAGCATGAGCTGTAAGGTCGCGCACGAGCGCGAGGTGGCCTTAATGAAAGGAATTAAGCCAACGTGCATATACGTATATAGCGCTTCATCTGGACAAAAGCACTCGCTTCGCGCGGTCCAGGCCATAAAGCGGCATTTAACTGGAAGCTATACCTGCAGCCACTGCTGCACCCGATTTTACGCACTCGGACATGCATGTGCGCGCTTCTGAACTACGCCCGTCGCCGGTCATCGAAACTGCGTATTTTCGCAATGACGTCGACAACGACGACGGGATAAACTCTGCTCGTAATCGTCGGTGTTTGCGTTAAACCCGACGAATAGCCTCCCCATTCGCCCATTACCTCCAGGTGCGCGCAGTGATTAATAAACAGCCGATGGCTGGATGAAAATAAGCCGCGGACTGCGGCGTTTCGCGGATTTGGAATTTGGCCCGCTTTCGTATCGTGAGCCTCATCGTCGTCGATTTCGCGTGCGCTGACGAAATTGGCAGTAAGCTGAGATACGCGACTACCACGATGTCCGTTCAAAATTTATGAGCTGTTCCCGATGTATCGATTAATCTCCGACATGTGTACGTAAGAAGATATCTGGAGTAGTCGCGCACAGTGTGCCCTTTCACGACAGACACAAATCATTCGATTACTGCGCTCATTGTATCCGCGAGAAGTGTATCACTTTTGTTTATATATATGTGATATTTTTGACAATGATTTGATGCTAATGAAATTGTCATCAGTTTCTAGCACTACAATGCTTCTACTTGTTTCTCTTTAAGAATGCATATTTAATAAATACAGATTCAATCGCTGACAAATAAATTAAAGCTCCCATAGTCTTGTGGTTATAAGAGACAGATCGAAACGAACGTTTCGCAGAGAGAGAGAGAGAGAGAGAGAGAGA